CTCTCCTATTATTGAATCTATCTACTCTATCACCATATCGGCTGACTAATATACACAAGTTATATCAAATATGCTATAACAAACTTTCCTTCTTTATTGTTGTATGTTATTGTTGTAATGCAAAAATACATCATGCGATCACAATCCACAAACCCTATCCCTAACACTATATATATCTTTTAAATTAGTGTTCTCAGAATAAAAATAAAAAAAATAAATTTATTACATTAATATTATTCAGTTTTATTTTGCTCTTCTTATATTACTACTATATTTTGTGTGATGGAGACCCAACCCCTTCATGATACCCTTCGAAAGTGTAGAAGCAAAGAGAAAAAGACCTCTGAGCAACGCAAGCTTCGTCGAAACCTTGATAAAAAAAGAAAGTGTATTAAAAGAGCAAATGACACTGAAGAATATCGTGCTCTTCAGCAAGTTAAAGCACATGATCAAATGCGATCTAATCGCCATTCTTCTGGCATTACCTCTCATCCTTCTGCCACTTCTTCTTTGGATACTGACGTCCATTGTCTTCCAGATTCTGACATAAATTTTCTAAATGCTTTTCACTCTAAAGTTGATAAATTCATTAATACCCTCTGCCCAGTATACAATGAATGTTTTTTATCCCTTCAGATTGTCCAAGGTAAATGTTATCGATGTTACTCAGAAAAAGGTGACAATAAATTCTCAGCAAGAAATAATATGGATCCTGGAGATGTACCTAAACAATTGCAAGGTTTAACACAGATAGAAGAGATGCTAATAGCTCAGATTTTTCCAATCGTCTCCGTGTATTCTCTTCGTGGTGATCAATATGCCTATCGTGATAATGTTATCAATTTTCCTCAAGACGTACAAGGGTTTGTTACATGATTACCACACTCTCCGTCATCGCTTGATGTTCTTGTTATACGCCGTTGCTCTTCTGATGGTAGAATATTTAAAGATTTCAATGTGCGTTGCTCCGTGGTATCGCGTACTCTTTATTGGTTAAAGCATTATAATTGTTACTATTCAAATATTGTTATTGATGAGAAAGTTTTGAGAACATTACCTGAAGACAATTCAATTATAGATCGGATTTCACAACTAGATCATAAAGATAATAGCTTCGATGATAATGACACTGATGTCCTTGATAATTCTTTAATTAGCAATTTTGTTCTTGTTTCTTTTCCGACTCCTGATGAAGAGTTCGCTATTACCAATACTTTGACTAGAATGCAGGCTAATAATGACCCTGTTATGTGGCCAACTATAGATGATGTATCTATAAATGAATTTAGAACTCCTGGCTATATTGCTCATGCCTTTCCAACTTTGTATCTGACTGGTGATGCTGATTTACGTTCAGAACATGTTAAGGATGTAAATCCGGCTAAAAATTTTTCGCATTTACTTAAGTATAAGGATGGTCACTTTGTTTGTCATATTCGTTGATGTTATTTTGCTTTGAACTCGCAGATGCGCTGGAGAGCTCTACAGGAAGGTAAAGTGTATGTGAAGTAGAATTTAAGTGGGTAGCAATATACCATTGAGGATTTGAGTAGTATGCTTGATGATGATAGTCTTATGGCCAATAAGATTATACGTTATGGTGAGGGATTGCGTGGCTCTCGTCAATTTTAGTACAGGCGTCATTCTGAATTATTTGATATGATCAAGCAGTTGGGTCCTCAGGGAATGATATTTTTTACCTTCAGTGTCACCGATCTTCATTGGCCTGAACTGCACAATCTGATGCCACATGGTGATTCTCTGTTTACGTTGTCTGAACAGGAAGCTATCATCTCCAGGCGACGGAATTTAATTGATAATCCACATATTACCGCTTGGTTTTTTGAAAGACACTTTACTATATTTTTGGAAAAGGTATTGGTTCCTAGATGGAACCTTGAAGATTATTGGTACCGTTTCGAGTGGCAACACCATAAAAGTCCTCATGTACATGGTATTGCTAAGAGAAAAGATGCCCCTATTATTGATTGGAATAAAATGAAAGATAATGAAGATTTAATAACCAATGTGATACATTACCTGGATTTTTTGGTAACTACAATAATCCTGGTCTTGATGCACCAATCCCTGATCGTCATCCCTGTCAGAAAGTTTCCGATGAGTTACTTTATGACTTGCAGGATTATATTGAATTGGTTAATAAACTGCAACGTCATACCCAATGTAGCTTTTCTTATTGTCTTCGAGTTGATCGTTCAGGACGTCAATCTTGTAGGTTTGGTTATCCAAAAGATATCTCTAAGGTCACATATTTGCGAGATGATAACGGTCAACCCGATCTAATTACTGCAAGAAATGATTTACTTATTAATCCACACGACCGTTTGCAGCTTCAAGGTTGGCGTGCTAATGTGGATCTGAAACCTATCCTTACCATAAATATTGCTTTACGTTACATTTCCAAATATGCGAGTAAGTCAGAGCCTCGCTCTGCATCATTCTTTGATATGTTATCCACAATTATCAATAAGAGCAATCTGAGTGATTCGTCCCTTAGCGTGATTCAAGGTTTGCTGCTTCAAACTGTTGCAGAGCGTGATATTTCTGCTCAAGAGACGTGTCATATGCTTCTTGGCCTTCCTCTTTATCGGTCCAGCCGTCAGTTTGTTTCTTTGAACCTTAATAAATATACTCCTCGTTGGCTTTGTGGTTCTGGAACCACTCCATTTTCATCTTATGTGTCAAACGAGGAAGTTGGTCTAACTGTATGATCATCTCTCCAGAGGTATTGGGATCGTCCCACTGAACTTGAAGACCTTTCACTTTTTCAACTTTATCTGAAATTC